AGGGAGGGCCGCCATTCAGTGGGGCAAGGGCCAAGCCCCACAGCCCACTCAGGGCTACCCCCTACAGGACCCTGGGCTGGAACCCGGAGCAAATGGGTGGGACCAGGTTCCCACCAACCCTTTTCCTTGCTGGTTGGGCTGCCAGTAAGGAAAAAGGGGAACCCTGTGAACTATTGGAGGGACTGACCTCCAAAACCCCAGACTGGACAATGATGAAAAGGGCTCTTGGAGTAGGGTGCCCTTGCCTTCCTGGCAGTGGTAGGGACCCCGCGAGTCTCTGAGGCACACGTAAAGACCTGCCAGGAAGCACAGGATCCAGGGGGCTTAGCCCAGACTTGCCACAACAGGAAATAAAATTGATCTGGAGATTTTTAAAACAGGCTGCTTTCTCATCACTTCTTGAAATGCACTAAGTTCTGGAAGAGAGAACAAAAAATAGTGCATCAGTCATTGTCTGGAAACAATAAGTAGGGATGTTTGGAAAGGCAGGTGGATGCATATTAATTTCTTTGGAACTAGACTGCTCTTTACACTGAAATAACGGAATATAGATGGTTTTCTTTATTAAAAGGAGGGGATGTGCAGTACAGTAATTATTCACTTAACACGTTTTCACGATAACACGATTTTTTCGGGGAACGTTTTTTGAACAACATGACCGTTCCCAAAATAACACAGTTTCCCCAGCCAGCTGGTTGCCGGCGGCTGCGTGCGGCTTCCTCCACCTACCTGCAAAGCAGCAGAGGGGTTGCCGCGCCGTGCCCCGGCAGCCCCCTCTCGCCCGACACCTTGGGCGGCGGGTTTCCCCCAGCCAGCTTGTCACTGGCGGCTGCGCAGGGATTCCCATACATCCCTTCAAAGCGGCGGAGGGTTCGCTGCTTGTCACGCCGTTCCCCAGAGACCCCCTCTCGCCAGACGCCTTGCTTCCTCTCCTCTGACCCAGCTTGCAGGACGACGGCTGGGTTTCCCCATTGTCCACTTCTTGAAACGCAACCCCCACCTTTTCCATTATTTTCAATGGGAAAATTGACCCTGCATAACATGTTTTCACTTAACACAATCATTTTCTGAAACATATCTACCGTGTTAAATGAGGAATTACTGTACCCCTTTTTAAAAAAAAAAAAACTGTTAAGTACATCCAGTATCTACAGTTTTCAGACACACAATTTTTTTCTACCATTGCAACACATTTGTTTAAACAACTTAATCACAGCCAGGTGGGCCATCAAATTTTTGGGTGTAAAAAGAATAAAAATCATAAAGCGCTGCAAAACTTAAAACAAAAATTCAGTTTTCTCCAAATTTCAGTTGTGTTGACATACCCCCAGACTTCACTTGAGTACCCCTAAAGGTACTCGTACCACTGGTTGAGAAACACTGCTCTAATTGACTATTCTTTTCCTTTTTTTCCCCCCATTCTTTTTCCTTCTCTCCCCACGATCCGCTACTTTATTTGAAACTGGACTGCATTCATCTGAACAAGTGGGTTGTGCTCATACCACCATCTATTCTACACTCTTTGTTAGTCTCTAAGGTGCCACTAAACTATTCGTTGTTTAAGTTTTTCCAGTTACAGACTAACACGGCTACCCCTCTGAAGCTTTTCACCACAGGCAGCATTAGTTATATTAACTGAACAAAATAAACTCATAAAGGGTTAAAGAATGCTTCCCATATCAACGCTAGCAGCAGAGGGTAAAGAATCATGGACCTAGCATCAAGAGCTCAGAGTCATGTGCTCAGATGTTCACAATCCCAAAGTTAATTGGTTTCTAACAGTGTCTGGTCATGGTGCCAAGAGAATATAAAATATCAAGAATTTAGTGATTTTCAATGGAAATTTTCCCTGGAAATTTAAATGAAGAACAAAAAGCAAAATGAAATAGCTATGAAGTGAAACAAATACATGGTTCTGAACAGAAAAATACTTACATCTCTGTTTCTAAGTTTTTGTTTAAGATTTGAAGGGTGATGGTACCAATACTGATGCTCCTAATTGTAGATTCTGTGCCTATCACCACATCAGTATTTGGGGGAAGATTGGAACACCTTACATAACAGTCTGGGGCAGTGTCCATAAGGGTATGTCTACACTACCCTCCTAGTTCGAACTAGCGGGGTAATGTAGGCATACCGCACTTGCAAATGAAGCCCGGGATTTGAATTTCCCAGGCTTCATTTGCATAAACTGGGCGCCGCCATTTTTAAATCCCTGCTCGTTCGAACCCCGTGCCGCGCGGCTACACGCGGCACGAACTAGGTAGTTCGGACTAGGCTTCCTAGTCCGAACTATCGTTACTCCTCATTCCACGAGGAGTAACAGTAGTTCGGACTAGGAAGCCTCGTCCGAACTACCTAGTTCGTGCCGCGTGTAGCCGCGCAGCACGGGGTTCGAACGAGCAGGGATTTAAAAATGGCGGCGCCCAGTTTATGCAAATGAAGCCCGGGAAATTCAAATCCCGGGTGGCGGCGCCCGGCTTATGCAAATGAAGCCTGGGAAATTCAAATCCCGGGCTTCATTTGCAAGTGCGGTATGCCTACATTACCCTCCTAGTTCGAACTAGGAGGGTAGTGTAGACATACCCTAACAGACTAATCAAGCACACTAACAGTTTTTCAAAGAGAGTGTCAACACTTGTTCTTTTTAAAAGCATGTTCAATCAATTCTGAAGAGGTCTCATGCAATTTCACCTTTAAAGTAGTACTGTCAGTAAATGCAATAAGTAATACTAAATGAGCAATATGGTAATAATTTAAAACCTGCACTGGAGTTATTTTGTTTAGGAGAATACATCCTCAACATACAGGAGTCTGAAGACAATCCACCTTCAAGACTAACATCATTTTCTATAGTTTCAGTTATCTACAAATGATAGGCTTTCAGTCACATCATGCATGTCACATAGCCACAGTATCTCACCTGTAGCCAAAAAAAGAAAAAAAGAAAAACCCAAACATACAAACAAAACACACAACCCTGAGTCATGCAGAAAGAAAAGAACCAGCAGATTACAAAAATAGATGAAAAAATTGCCCTTTTTGTTTATGCAACAAACATTTTTCCATATGATTGAGAATGCACACTTCATTAAAATGGCTCAGTTGTTAACATAAGGATATAGTCCATTCAACAGAGCAGATGTCACAGGCATATTGCTGAATAAAGTGTATGAAAGAGAAATTGAGCAGTGTGCAAAAAGTCTAGAGGGTAAAACTGTTAATCTGAGTCTTGATGTGGTAAGCAACATTCATAATGACCCTGTTGTATGTGCTTGTGTTACAACAGAACAAAACGTCTTCCATTCTGAAACAAATGATACATCAGGAAATGCACACACAGCAGAATATTTTTAAGTAGTAGTTAAAACTATAGAAGATTGGAAAAAAAAATCAAATGTCAAGTATGCAACTTTATCACAAAAAATTCTGCAAATGCATCCAAGATGAGAAGAAATTTAGAAGAGCCTCCCAAGCTACCATATGGCTGCAGTGCTCATTTGCAGTGTTCATTTGATGCACCTCCTAGTCAAAGACTTCAGTGTTCCAAAAATAAAAGCTAATATTGTTGAAATGGCAAAATACTTCCAAAACAACCACTTTGCAGCAGCTGCTCTGAAACAAAAAAAAGTGGGAGGAACCAAGCGAATGCTCCCATAACACGTGATGGAGCTCAGTAGTGGACTGTTTTGAGCACCATACCAAGAACTGGCCTAATCTGATGACAGTTTATGAATAAAATAGTGAAAAAATAGATGGCACGATCACAGCGAAAGTTCTCAACACTTGGCATAAGACAAATGCTGAACAGAATACGAGTACCCTACAGCCTGTTTTTGTAGCCTTGAACAAAATGCAGGGAAATAGCTGTTTTATTGCTTATGCTGTTGAAATCTGGAAAGGACTGTGTGAGATCTTAAAAAAGGAGAAATATGCAATGACAGAGTTAAATTACAAGCATTAAAAAAAAAAATGTGAGAAGCACTATCTCCAGCTCATTTTCTTGCAAATATTCTCAATACTTAGTACCAGGATCAAACCTTATCTAACAAAGAAGAGGAGATGGCTACAACATGGGCATTCAGCAATCATCCCTCCGCAATGCCAACTACAGGCAGTCCCCGGGTTACGTACAAGATAGGGACTGTAGGTTTGTTCTTAAGTTGAATCTGTATGTAAGTCGGAACTGGGGTCCAGATTCAGCCGCTGCTGAAACTGATCCGTTTCAACAGCAGCTGAATCTGGATGCCAGTTCTGACTTACATACAGATTCAACTTAAGAACAAACCTACAGTCCCTATCTTGTACGTAACCCGGGGACTGCCTGTATGGCAAAAAAATCCTCCAAATATTAACTAATTCAATTAAGAATTCAATTAAGAATCGCATTAATTCAATTAACATGTTGAATTGGAGACAGTTCACCTCCCAATGTCTTCAAAAATATCTGCTTCAATTATTTTTTGTAAATGAAATAATGAAACAACCATTCATTTTATGATAAAGCTGTAAAACTAATCTGAAGCATTTCCAAAATAAATTGATGTGAAGAATATGTATTAAGGTTATAACCAAACATTTTTTATGTAGAAAACCATGCTTAAATCAAGTCTTTGTGACTAGTTATTTAAATCATGATTTAAATCAAATTCACCCTGATTTTGACACTATAAAAATAAATACTGAATAGTTCTAAAAAATGCAGGTTGATAGTAAATGAGCTAAATGATCTTTACAGATATTATTTATCATTGTATAGCTTTGATTTTTTTTCTTTCAAAGCAAAAGCAGACTTGGTCCGCTGTAGCCATCACGGTAGCATTAACAGGACTGCTGTGACAAACTGCTACATCAGCTTTCTGAATCCATGCTTTTCAGGCATGTGTTTCTGTCCTTGGATGTCTTTAATCAGTAATCTTGCAGTAATGCAATCACATTTTTTATGTACAATTTATGGAACCGAACATTTAAATGCTTGCTGCACTCTTGTGTGCTTAATTATTCATGTTGCACTAGTAACATTGCCAAATTTCTCAGATGATGTCATATATACACAAAACAGAGTTAGCCACTATAAAGATTTTTTTTTCCAAGGGAACAAATGGAAATCTTAGACAGTAATCAACTGAAATGGGCACTTTTTCATTTATGTTTGGTGTAAGGCATTAGGAATTGAAAACTTTCAGACGTTATAAACAGAATTTGGGGTCACTACTAGTTACCAATCCTTTCCTGCAGAGTGGCGATTTTTTATTTTTACAGTACTCAAACTTGTGCTGTTTGCCTCTGAGCACGCATGAGTGATCCAAGATCCATGCCCAAAATACCGTTCAATATCATTTAAAAATTAATTTAATTGCACCTACAGATTTTTAAGTCAATACATTTGCACAGAGTGAAATTTTTACACGCAGCTGAAAGCAGAAGAGAGTCACAATGAGTGTGTGTGATTATTTTGACTGATTAAATCTGAAGCCCCCTAACTGAATGTATTCTCTCTCTTCTGGAAGAAAATGCATTTAGTTAGAAAAGTAGTTACACTTATTACAGATTAAGAAAATGGGTAGCCAACAAGGCATTAAGACTGCTTTACCTGTGCTCTCTCTTCATCAAATTCCAGGCAGCCCATACCATCCAGTCTCTGCAGATCTATCCAGCCTTTCCAAATAACACAGACACCATTCAGAATCATGGGTGCCTTTAAGTACACCTGAAATATAGTCAGACAAATACATCGGAGTTCAAAAGTGTCTGTATATTCAAACAGTTGCTGCATTTATTTTTAAACACCTTTCTACAACTACTATTCTGATACAAATTAATGCAGCATTACACAAAACATTTCTGACGTAAATGACATGCGCCTGAACTGTTTTTTCCCCATTATGTTTTAATCAAAAGTCTGTAAAATACTATACTTAATAATCTGGATAGTGTATTTTTCATTTAATACATACTGGAATTAATTTATTTCTTCAACTTATAAACCAGTATGCACCAGTGTTTGGTGAGCATTATGTTACTTTTATACTTAAAATCACTTGTGTTTCTTATCAGATCACCTCTTACAGTCATTTGTTTTATACGTTATTTGTTTTTAGAGTCAATAAATATAGATAAGATAGATAGACCAGATAGATCTAGACAGACGGAGCATACTGTCACCAATATAAGATACACGCATTTATTTTAAAGTGTTAGACAAAACACTTTTATTTTGCTAGTGCTATACATTTATTTTTCTTCATACAAAAAGAATAAATACCAATTTCTCTTCCTTCTCAAGCCTAAGATAAAGAAATGAAGTCAGAGCTTAAGGTAATACATTAACTATTGTGGCAGGGCGTTGCCCTGTACTGGCCCTTTAAGGGGCTAGGAGTTGGAGGGAGAGGGAAGCCCAGCTGAGGCAGATAAGGAGGGCCCAGCTGAGGGCTATAAGAGCAGCTCCTGGGAGAATGAGAGAGGCTTTGACCTAACAAACCCAGGCTACCTGGCCTGAGGCCCAGGGCTCGCATGGAGGCAGCCCAAAAAGGCCAGGCTGCAAGGAGGCAGCCACAGCGTGCACGGAGGCAGCTGTAGTAGGCTGGGGGAGTTCGAGCCAGGGAAGCCCCAGGCCATAGGACTGCAAGGCAGGGTTGCAGGAGGCAACGGAGCAGCAGCGGCACACCCATGGCCAGGGAGGAGGGGGCCTAGAGAAATTGCAGTCTGCTCGGAGGGGCTAGAGAAGGACTGGCAGTGGGCCACTGAGGCCAAGAGGGTGCAGCGGAACTGTGGGTTCCAGGAGAGAGCTGGGTATTCCCAGGAAGAACTAGGAGTCCCAGGGAGTAGGGAGGACCAAAGCAAGAACAATGACCTCCCCTTCTGCCCCGGAAGGGGGCGCAGACCAAGGGCAGTGACCTGAAGAGAACACCTCACCTAAAGGGGGCGCATCGGTGTCAAGAGCAGCCGGTGACTTCCCCACAAACCACCCTGCGGGAGTCAGCTGTGCCTAAAAACGAGTGAACCCACTACATTATCCAAACCACAAGGAGTATGTGTGGCATGAAATAATATCTTAAATTTACAGAATACTGAAAAAGCCTCTGTTATTTTTCTAATATTTGTTAAAGGTAAATTGAAAAATGATAGGGTATAAAATATTTTTACTGAACCATCTGGTACCTTCAGTCGTAAGAGAAACTGAAACTGCCACTAAGAACCTACAGTCTACATGAGCAGTGCTGCCACTTTGAAATGCTGCCACTGTGGCATTTCTGCGGAACTAGGATCTGCTGGGGAGTCCCCATCTGACCCTGGATTCTGGGGAAATGCCATGTGTAACCCGGGGTCAGCTGGGGACTCCCCGCTGATCCCGGGCTCTGCATGGCATTTCAAAGCGGCAGTGCAGCACGGAGCCCAGGGTCAGCGGGGGACTCTTGCACATTTCAAAGCTGGCACACCCACATGCAGCCCAGAGTCAGCAGGACTTCCCGCTGGCCCAGACTGCATACAGAGTTCCCCAATTCCTCCTTTGAAATGTACAAGAGCCCTAGTAGGGGGGTCTTGTACATTTCGAAGGAGGAATGAGGAAGTGCCTATCGACTACTCAATTAGTAAATTAATCATTAAGATCCTTAGAGACAACTACTAAGCACCACAGCCAGAGGCCAAGCCAGAATCAAGGTCAAAGTCAGAGGTCAAAGTTTGTGCAAGGACTGATCACTGATGACTGGAGGCAAAGTGCAGGGGCAGGAACTCAGAGGGGCAAGAATCAAGCACACATCAGAAGCAATGTAAGAACAGCAGCAAAGGCAGGCTCTAGCAGTAAAGGTCTGAGATCAAACAGCAAAAACAGGAGAATGACCTTTTCCTAGGAACTTAAGACACTGCAGGAGGTCATTAGATACCAGGAAGACAGCTAAGTAAAACACACTTCTGAAACCAAAACTCCTTCTTTTTCCTTAATTCCACCATAACATGAAGCAGAAAAAGAATCACTGACTAACCAGTATACTAACAGCTAACACTAATTACTTCAAAAGAAAATACCCTGGCTGATGAGACTAAGAAGTCCATATCTATGCAGGCACACCGTTAGAAGGAACAACCCTACATAACCTTGTCCTTAGTAGAGTGATGCAGAGGGGAGTGGCGGCATAGGATAGCTCTAGCCAACATTGCTTGAGAAAGGTTTTACTGTAAGCTGCCTCAAGGTGACATGGTACTCACAGGTGAAAATATGCAAAGCTACTTGAAAGAAAATGAATATTCCAGAACAGTTTATTCTGCAAAACCTTATTCTAAGGCTACGTCTATATATCTACAAGTTTTGGTGACAAAAGTACTGTCAACATGCAAGAGTCACCAAGACTGAGAACTCGCCCAACTTTTTTCTGGCACCCACAGTCAACAACTTATAGCCACATCTGTAGCTCCCTTATGAACAGAAAGAGTAAAGATTGAAAGTAGGCATCCCACAGTGTCTTTAATCACCTTCGCTCACTAAGCCCTGTGAGAATGTACAACGTAGCTGTAGGCTTGTTGGGAACACCAAAAACGTTTCATCAGCCACCTCCTTTCTTGACAGACATCCCTTGGCTTCTGACTTACTTTTTAGCCAGTTTGAGCAGCCATGGCAACAAAACATGGATCCCAGACTTCTGGCCTTTGTCGTGAGCAGTGTGCAGGGGAAAAAAAAAAAAAAATCACACACTTCAGCATACCTACTTATGGACCTACTAGCAGAGGAGAATGACTCCTCAGATTCGGAAATGCAGCACAGAGCAGGGGTCATCTGGGGAATGCCCAGCTGACTCTGGGTTCCGCAGAAATGCCACACAGAGCCCGGGCTCAGCTAGGGACTCCCCAGCTGACCCCAGGCTCCACATGGTGTTGCCACTTTGAAGTACCCTGTCTTCCATTTATTGTTTTTTCCCCTGTAACAGACTAACTCGGCTATCCCCTAAAGCAGATTGTGAGAGTGTGGGTGCAAAGGAAGGGTTGCTGGATAAAGAATTGTACCTTTGCAGCCATGAGTGGTGATGTGGGTAGCAGGTAAGAGATGGTTGCTAGAAAAAGTTCTGGACGTGGTACATGGGAAGCCTTTGGTTCTTGTCAAAATTATTAATTTGTATTATATGCCTCAAGATAAAATAATTCTGGCCCTTCATGAGCTGTAGCATGCACTCAATGGTCTTATTGATGGCTTGCCTGTCTGTAGCTCATTTCTGCTCTCCCTCCTCCCTGGCCTTAGCTCATTTCTGCTCTCTCTGTTGCTCTTTTTTTCTTGTACTGACTTGAGTGACAACAATTCCTACACCATATCCTCACACATCCTTGTCCTTCCCACACCTCATCAGTTGATGCAGTCCGTCTGCTGGTGGACATGACTGATTACACAAGTCCTAGTCTGCAAAAATAACTGTTAATAATAGAGTGACTTTACTTATGATAAAAAAAATGTTAAATTTCACTAACATCCATACCCCCCCTTTTGACGGGGGGGAGGGGGGAGGATTATCCTGGCAGCACACACAGATCTCTGCAGACACTGAACATGCTGAGTTTTAGAAGTAGGGGCGACAAGGGTTAGCTATGACTCCTCATGAAAGTACAGACCCCAGTTGTGAAGCAGTTGTAAAAGGAAATTATTTTTGATAATCTTATACTTGCCCATAGGCTGCAATCACTCTTGCTGACATATCCCTGCTGAAGATTAACAAGCAAACTCAGGCTCAAGCTTTTGGAGGCAAGTGGGGGACTGCCCAGTCCTTATGCAACCAAACCGTGTGCTGCCTTGATTCCGGAAGCACACATTGAGGACAGTTTTAGGAAAGTGTTGTACCACAGGCGTTGGAAAATGGCAGCACTGCCATGGAATCTGCATGACAAAATTCATAAGTACATCACCATCATTTCCCAGGAAAATTCTATTGCTATCCACATGTGTATCGATGCTGTGTCTGGGCATGATGCAAACCCAGGGAGTGCTAGCCACCTCACAGAAATGCTGCCTCTGGTCACAGTGTGCTGACAACCCCTTCCTCCCCAGCAACTTACTATCCAGCATGGCCGCTGCCCACTCAATCCCCAACCACAGATACCTGGACAGCAATTATTCATTGCATCACCCTCTCCCCGACTGCACAGAGCAACTTACCGCCCCCAAATACCGGTCACCTGCACAGCAGCAACTCACTGCAGCACCCTCTCCCCAAATGCATAAAGCAACTTTCCACTCACAGCATGGCCACCACCCACTCAGCCCCCAACCCTGGGCACCTGCATAGCAACTACTCAACATGGCACAACCTTCATACCACCCTCCATAGCTGCCTTCTGTTCAGCGCACAACCCCGCCAGCTTGCACAGCAACATACCCGCATCCCTTCTGTTACTGCAACAGCCTGCATCTCTTCCATGTAAAGTTATGAGCATCCTCACAAACATGGGGTCTTGAGAACTATTCCTCACTGTCTAGTGCACAGGTTGTCACCACGCTGACCCTCTTCAGTCTCTTCATCAACTTGTGTCCCCCCAAGTCAGTGCAGCAGGAGGAGCCACATCATACTGCGCATGTCTCAGCTGCCTCCAGGGGCTCTGATCCCCAAGCCCAAATCCCTCAGAGCAACTGCATTCCCCCCGCCCTCCCAACTGGGCTTGCCTCCCCTCCCCGAACCTGGGGCTTGGGTGTCATCTGCAGGTAGCTGCTACCTGTCCAGGGCTGCAGTG